CTAAACATACAAAAAAATTAGCTGAGCATGGTGGCAGACACCTGTAATCCCAGCTACTTCAGGAGGCAGAGGCAGGAGAATTGCTTGAACCCGGGAGGCAGATGTTGCAGTGAGCCGAGATTGCACCAGTACACTCCAGCCTGGGTGACAAAAGTGAAACTCTCTCTCAAAAAAAAAAAAAAAAAAAAAAAAGGTAGAATGTCACATGGAAAGTTAACTTTTAGAGATAGTAATCCAGACACCTATAATATTATGTTGTCCTTTTAAGTATCTATATCAATAAATTAACCAACATTTGATGACCTAACATGGCCAGGGACAGGGCTGGGTGCTCATAATTCCCGAATAATTCTAGCCAGACCTTGTCCTCAAGGAGCTTATGAGCAGGGTGAAGGGATAAAAACCAGATAAATAACTCTAATTCAGGAAGAATGTGATAAATGCATGATAACTACCACTAGAATTCTGAGGAGAGGAAATTTTCTTTGAATAGAGACTAAAGGAAGGAATAATGAATGTGGTAGCATTTGGGCTGGACCTATTGCAAGAGTCATGCTCTCCCCTGACAAGCCAAGAAAGTGGGGATTCAAGGTAGAAGGAAAGAAAAGCTCTGAGTTCTTTGAGTATTAAAATTTTGCTTGGCTGAAGCATAGGTTACAGTTGGAGGAGATGGACTAGGAAGGATCATTACGGGCGGAGAGGAAGCCCTGAACTCATGGGGGAAGCTATGATTTGGGTTCAAGGCAGAGCTGGGTCATGTCAAGATGGATCCTGAAGCAGTAAAAAAGTCCAAGAAAGTAAACCGGTCGCAGGGTTTAGGAAGAAGTCTGGGAGGAAAGGGCAGAGAGATCCTTAGGAGGCTCTTAGGACAGGTAAGGTAATAGGTCTCAAAGGGAGTGGCAGGAATGAAATGGAAAAAGAGAGATTGTAAAGCTAGAAGGCCCAGGAACTGCCTCTTGATTAGGTGTGGAAGGCAAGGGAAAATCAGCCCTCGAAGAAGACAGTGAGATTTTAATCTGGATGACTGGAGAGACAGTAATGCTGGGCACAGACAGAGGGAAGTTGAGAGGAACACCATGTTTGAGAATGGTGACTCATATTTGAACAATCCAGCAATGCCCAGCAGACTGCTGGAAAAGTGGGGCTGAAGATATATTCAATGGCAGAGCCAGAGCAATCTTTATCCTTCTTCACCTGGGAGAACCAGTAAGTCATGGCTGGAGTGTGTGTATCCAGCAAGAGAGGTTGGGGAGGGAAGCAAAGAGAGCTGGGAACCTAAGAGTGAAGTTTTTGCCAAAGGCATGAGAGAAAAGTCGGCGTAGCACAGTATACTTTCCCACCCAAGCTCACCTGCTCAGGGACAAGGCTCACCAAGATGAGTCTGGAAGAGAATGCTGGAAAGAAAACTGACTTTATTGAACTTCTTGGACTAACTTTGATTGTAAATCTCTGAACAATCAAAGCCTATGAGGAGACAGCCAACCTTCTTATTCTTCCTATGTCAATAGTGAACAATTGCAGATCTCCTTTCCTTTTTTTCTCCTTTCCCCTCTTCCTCTCTCCTCCCTCCCTGAATGCTCTTGGTTTTTTTTTGGACTTGGTCTAGAACATGGGTGGCCATTGTTGACCTACAGGAGGGACCACTGTCACCAACAAAGGGTAACAATCTTTCTTTTCAATATTTATTTCTATCCAATATTTATTTTCAATACTGACTATGGAGAGAGCTCTCCTGTGCTCCAACACTGCAATATCGGGGGTCTTTCAAAGCACCAAGATATATATTTGCATCTGGCATCATTAACATTTTTATGACTTTCTACTTCTTTCTTTGTGCTGGTCTCAAGAGCCACTCATAAATCTCTCAGTAACTGCATAGTGTCCCAGGGCCAGAGACCGGCCACTCCTGGCATTGTGATTAGAGTCATTTAATATCCAAGGTGGTGACTAATGTCTGGCAACAGAGGCTCCATTGGGTGTCATGTGTCCTGGGGCCCTGAGCGTGGGCACTCTAGGAGCACCTCATTATTGCATGTTAGTACTATGGCCAAGAGAAACGTTGAGAAAGTGGTCAAGAGGTGGATCCATGTGAACGCCACTGGAAAACGAGAGACCTCTTTCCCGATCACTGTCAGTGCAACTCGAAAGCCTAAAATCAGTTGAAAACAAAGGTATCTACCTTTATCTTATGTTCATATCCTAGGCTTTTGATAATATGTATTTTTCACATGTTTACAGAAAGCAGTCAACTGAGCTATTCGTGGAAAGGTTTGTGGGTTTGGTTAACGAAGTGGAGGAGTATTACATTTCAGCTGGAAACACATCCCTAGAATGCCAAAACATTTATTCCAAAGTCTGGTTTCCTGGTGCAATCGGAGGCATGGCAATGCCTCTGTTCAGAGACTGGGGTCTAGGGCCAGTAAGGCATTTGATCCACATGTATCCCAGAAGGCTTTTATTGTTAAATTATATTCTTTCGGAAAAACCACCCATGTCCTATTTTGTAAACTTGATATCCATACACTTTTGACTGGCATTCTATTTTAGCCGTAAGAGTATGATTCACAGCAAGCCTGTTTTTCCTCTTGCTTGGGGTGGCAGCGGAAAGCATAGGGTACTTTCCAGCCTCCAAGGGTAAGGGGCAAAGGGGCTGGGGTTTCTCCTCCCCAGTACAGCTTTCTCTGGCTGTGCCACGCTGCTCCCTGTGAGCAGACAGCAAGTCTCCCCTCACTCCCCACTGCCATTCATCCAGCGCCGTGCAGTAGCCCAGCTGCGTGTCTGCCGGGAGGGGCTGCCAAGTGCCCTGCCTACTGGCTGCTTCCCGAATCCCTGCCATTCCACGCACAAACACATCCACACACGCTCTCTGCCTAGTTCACACACTGAGCCACTCGCACATGCGAGCACATTCCTTCCTTCCTTCTCACTGTCTCGGCCCTTGACTTCTACAAGCCCATGGAACATTTCTGGAAAGACGTTCTTGATCCAGCAGGGTAGGCTTGTTTTGATTTCTCTCTCTGTAGCTTTAGCATTTTGAGAAAGCAACTTACCTTTCTGGCTAGTGTCTGTATCCTAGCAGGGAGATGAGGATTGCTGTTCTCCATGGGGGTACGTGTGTGTCTCCTTTTTCTTTCATGACTTGTAGGATTCTTTGTGCCATTTGCATATAATTTGGCAGGTTCAGATTTTTTAAGAGCCCTATGAAGTGCTTTTTGCGTGTGTTTTAAAAAGGCATTTGAAAATTGAAAGTGTGATTTATGGAAACTAAATCATCTGTGAAAAATTGCTTTGGAAAGTAATGATTGCTGGCCATAAAGGGAAATATCTGTGATGTACCTAATGTGTTTTTAACCCTTTAGTTGCTGACAATCTATAGTCATTAATGCTAAACTCGATTTTGGCTTCATATTAAATCAGCTAATCTGTATATTGTCCGACAATGGTCTGTTTTTGTAGGAATTAGATAAAATGTATACTTGATATAAAATATTCAAAAATGTAACTATTAGTAACAGTAAGCTTGGCATTTAGATATACCATGAACACTTTGTCAGGTACTCTGTTGGGTGTTTGGGATAGCAATTAAAATAAAGTATTGATAGTTGTACCAGAGTCTATTAGGCTGCAGCAAAGGAAGTTTATTAAAAAGTATAAACTCTCCAAGATTATAGATGCATGACATACCTTCCGTATTTTTTGTGTCCTTAATATGTATATGTATGTGTGTGTGTGTGCGTATGTGTGTGTGCATGCTTAACTTTTAATTCAGTTAAAAACTTTTTTCTATTTGTTTTTCATCTGGATATTTGATTCTGCATATCCTAGCCCAAGTGAACCGAGAAGATCGAGTTGTAGGACTAAAGAATAGACATGCAGAAATGCATTTTAAAAATCTGTTAGCTGAACCAGACCGACAATGTCACATAATTGCCAAAGCTTTGGTTCATGACCTGAGGTTATGTTGGGTATGAAAAGGTCACATTTTATATTCAGTTTTCTGAAGTTTTGGTTGCATAACTAACCTGTGGAAGGCATGAACACCCATGTGCGCCCTAACCAAAGGTTTTTCTGAATCATCCTTCACATGAGAATTCCTAATGGGACCAAGTACAGTACTGTGGTCCAACATAAACACACAAGTCCAGCTGAGAGAATCTCAGAATGTTGTGGAAGGGGTCCACTTTGGGAGCATTTTGCAGAGGAAGAAACTGAGGTCCTGGCAGTTTGCATTCTCCTGATGGCAAAATGCAGCTCTTCCTATATGTATACCCTGAATCTCCGCCCCCCTTCCCCTCAGATGCCCCCTGTCAGTTCCCCCAGCTGCTAAATATAGCTGTCTGTGGCTGGCTGCGTATGCAACCACACACCCCATTCTATCTGCCCTATCTCGGTTACAGTGTAGTCCTCCCCAGGGTCATCCTATGTACACACTACGTATTTCTAGCCAACGAGGAGGGGGAATCAAACAGAAAGAGAGATAAACAGAGATATATTGGAGTCTGGCACGGGGCACATAAGGCAGCACATTAGAGAAAGCCGGCCCCTGGATTCGTCTTTCGCGTTTATTTTAAGCCCGTTCTTCCCTGGGCCACCTTTAGCAGATCCTCGTGCGCCCCCGCCCCCTGGCCGTGAAACTCAGCCTCTATCCAGCAGCGACGACAAGTAAAGTAAAGTTCAGGGAAGCTGCTCTTTGGGATCGCTCCAAATCGAGTTGTGCCTGGAGTGATGTTTAAGCCAATGTCAGGGCAAGGCAACAGTCCCTGGCCTTCCTCCAGCACCTTTGTAATGCATATGAGCTCGGGAGACCAGTACTTAAAGTTGGAGGCCCGGGAGCCCGGGAGCTGGCGGAGGGCGTTCGTCCCGGGACTGCACTTGCTCCCGTCGGGTCGCCAGGCTTCACCGGACCCGCAGGCTCCCGGGTCAGGGCCGGGGCCAGAGCTCGCGTCTCGGCGGGACATGCGCTGCGTCGCCTCTAACCTCGGGCTGTGCTCTTTTTCCAGGTGGCCCGCCGGCTTCTGAGCCTTCTGCCCTGCGGGGACACGGTCTGCGCCCTGCCCACGGCCACGGACCATGACCATGACCCTCCACACCAAAGCATCCGGGATGGCCCTACTGCATCAGATCCAAGGGAACGAGCTGGAGCCCCTGAACCGTCCGCAGCTCAAGATCCCCCTGGAGCGGCCCCTGGGCGAGGTGTACGTGGACAGCAGCAAGCCCGCCGTGTACAACTACCCCGAGGGCGCCGCCTACGAGTTCAACGCCGCGGCCGCCGCCAACGCGCAGGTCTACGGCCAGACTGGCCTCCCGTACGGCCCCGGGTCTGAGGCTGCGGCGTTCGGCTCCAACGGCCTGGGGGGTTTCCCCCCACTCAACAGCGTGTCTCCGAGCCCGCTGATGCTGCTGCACCCGCCGCCGCAGCTGTCGCCTTTCCTGCAGCCCCACGGCCAGCAGGTGCCCTACTACCTGGAGAACGAGCCCAGCGGCTACACGGTGCGCGAGGCCGGCCCTCCGGCATTCTACAGGTACCCGCGCCCGCGCCGCCCGTCGGGGTGGCCGCCGCGCCCGGCGAGAGGGAGGAAGGGAGGAAGGGAGGGAGGGAGAAGGGGGAGCCGAGGGAGCCGCGGGAGCCGCGGGAGCCGCGGGACGCGCGACCCGAGGGTGCGCGCAGGGAGCTCGGTACGCGCGGCCCAGCCCGGGGGTTCTGCGTGCAGCCCGCGTTGCGTTCAGAGTCAAGTTCTCTCGCCGGGCAGCTGAGAAAAACGTGCTCTCCACCCACTTAGGGTCCGTGCGACAGGCAGACCCGAAAGCCCGGGGCTTCCTAACTAAACACACGTTGGAAAACCAGACAAAGCAGCAGTTATTTGCGGGAGGAAACACCTCCAGGCAAATAAACACGAAGCGCTTTGAGTCACTCGAGAAGGTCCCGCTCTTGGCATTTAAAGTTGGGGGTGTTTGGAGTTAGCGGAGCTCGGCAGAATTTTATTTATCCTTTCAATGTTTTTGTTTAATGTGCTCCCCAAATTTCCTTTCATCTAGACTATTTGATTGGAAATATGTCGGCTATGATGATGACTTTCTGGGAAGCGATTCCTGTCACCCTCTTTCCCCTCCTCCCCACCCCACGTCCTGGGGCTTTAGAGAGCGATTGGGAGTTGAATGGGTCTGATTTCGGAGTTAGCTGGCTGAGTCCGCGCTGGAGCGGATTGCTGGCATGTGACTTCTGACAGCCGGAAATTTGTAGGTGTCCCGCGAGTTTAAAACAAGCCATATGGAAGCACGAGTGCTTAAAAATAATCTCCCGCCAGCCCAGTGGCGAGCCTGTCCCACCCGGGGAGAATGCCCCGGAGTGGCGTGCGGGTCCGCCGGGGTCTGCGCCTCGCAGCCACTGTGGAACGAGCGCGGCCAGTCCAAGACACAGGAGACCACTTCGTGACTTCAATGGCGAAGGTTGTGTGTCCTCATTTTTATTTTTTTTCCGACAAGATTTATTCTTTCTCCCTCTCCCTTTCCTCCCATTTTCCCTTGCCCAGTTTCTCCCCCCCCCCCACCTTTTTTTTTTTTCCTGATGGGCCTGCAGAGGGATTAGGTGGGCGCTTCTGGTGAACACCTGCCTAGGTGGCCACAGGACAGGTGTACTCTGGACTGGGTTTGGGAGCTTCAGGGCGCCACATGGCTGGGTGCTGAATTAGGCATTTCCTAACTGTACACTGGTATCTGGACTGGTGTCTCCATTATCTTTCTGCCTTGTAAGCCGTGGACCAGTTTCTGTTAAGTATTCTGTTTCCAGGGATATTTATAGCAGAAGGAAGGGAATAAGGTGCAGTTTGGCCCCAGAGGATACGGAAGGGCAGATTCTGGGGGTATCCAGCGTGCCTCTTCAGCCGCCTTAGAGAAATTTACAGCATCCCACAGCCACGCAGGTCCAAGCTGTCTTTACTTAAAAGACAAACAATGAACAAAACTTTTAAAAGTTGGCATATTTCAAATTAATTTTACTTGTTTTAATTTAGGGTTAAAACAGAGAAAAAGGATTTCTTCTGCCCACTTTTTTTTTTTTTTTAAATGGAAGAACAAAATACAGCAATTAAGTCTAATTCCACACAACATTAAAAACTCCTTGATGTGAAGGAAGGCATTGGTATGATGTGAATTCCATAACCTTATGATGGACTCCAGAAACCATTTTCCTTCCTATTTAATTTTCAGTTCTTTTATTGCAAATTAATGCCACTGAATTTCAATGGGCACTAATGAGACTGCTCCTTGGTAGATTATTTACTGCCTTGCTAATAATTACAAAGTGAACCTGGTCAAATACAGAGGGGATCGCATCTTATTCAAAATTGTTCATCATCCCAGCAATAAGTAGTATCAGTGTCATGTGCCCTATCTTACACTTTTTGCATTAAATGATATTCAAATACTTAGAATAATAAAAAAAGATACAAAGAACTTAAAAATTAAAAAAAAAACTTGCACAAATGGGACTCTGTTTGGAAATTCAGTTTTAGAATGATTTTTCCTGTGTTTTATTTCCTGGATTATCTTTCCTCTTTTGTTAGAATTCTGCCTCTTATTATCCAGCAAGGAAGAGAAGCATCTATGCAAGTTCTTCATATGGACAGATGCTATTTAGTATTTTTGCCCTCTCAGTTTTTCTGCTTAAATAACTCTGGGTATAAAGGAAAGGATTGATTGGACTCTTTTAGGAAACTTCAAGTTTCTTAAGTAGTTCTCAAAAGGTTTTAGGGCTGAAAGCAGTGTTTTCAAACTGCTTGTTGTGACCCAGAAGGTCGTGAAATCAGTTTAATGAGTCTAGAATATTTTTAAAAAGGAATAAAACAGAAAGGAATATAATAGAAAATATCAGAGTGCATGGCATTTAGTAAGCATAAGTTTTGTTTCCTGAAAATCTGTTTTAATTATATATGCTTCTGTGTGCTGATTGTGATGTAAAATGTATTTCTTACTGTGGATTGAACTCAAAGAAAAAATTAGAAAGCTAATGGCCTAAAATATTATATGTTCAGTAGAAAACAAAAAATTCAGACAAGTGGCTGGTTGTTTTTACCTATACAAATCAAAATGCTATTTTGATTGTCTTCATTTTTCCCTTATAAATTAGGTTGGTGTCTTTAGTCAGTTAGGCTAAGTTTTACTGTCTGATTCTTAACTTTTCTGTTATAGAATGGTGCTGTCATGTGGACTGTCCTCATGAGTGTCCCACTGGATGTTCAGAGAATTTATGTGAAGGTCATATCATTTAGCATTGAGACACTGTGGTTACTTTCTTCCATTTCTTCCATAATATGCAGCCACATCTATGTGTGAAGAAATGTATTAGATAAAATTTCTCTGGGCACATAATAATGTGAGAAAGATTGTCACATGTCCCAGCAAATTGTTATTAATATAAATTTGTTACTTGGCAAGCTGAGATTTTGCAAGATGTTACTCAAAATTTCATGATGAAGGAAACGGGGAGTCATCTTATCCTGGGTTCCTTTTTAGGTTTCAAACAATTTAGGAACTCTGAATAAAACTAAAGATGAAGCTTAATTATATCAACTATCCTTTTTAAAGTTCAAATTAGGAATTTAAATTAATGCTGCATGCTTATTTCAGTTTTATTACTCAGTATTCTTAAAAGTTAGACATCACTCACTTCTCCAAAAAACTTGGCAAATGTGTAAACCTTTTGCATCAAAATCAATGCCCTGCTAATTTATTATCCTGGCCATCTGCATATTTTGGGCAACTCATTTGTCCACTGGCGATCATTTAAAACTCTTTCTCAAGTTTGAATAGAGACTGATCTCCAAAGTGAGATTTAAGTGACTAACTTTCAAGTTTCCGATACATTTTTCCTTTTACTTAGATAACATTTCAGCCCCCTTCCTTTCTGATCTTACTTTTTTATTAATTTAAATTATTACTGATTACCTGACACTTTGTGCTGGTCTAAGAATAGTCCAAAGAGTTACATATTCCCTCGTGAATGAGCGTATTTTCGGATGAAAACGGAATCACATCTTCAATCTCCATTTCATTTTCACCTCCTCCATGTGGCTTGTACCTGTTTGGAAGAAAGCTCCTGAAGGATAATTGCCACTTATTCTAATCTTCTTTCTCACACTCATTTAATTTGGATCCCTGGCTATAGTTGTTATTTACTTTGTGAATATATTTAGGCTATGACATTCATAATTTGGGAAAATTCTCAGGTTTGAGAATTTTGGTTTCTTGTAGTTTTAAGGATATGCAAGACAGGTGTAAGAAACTGCCAAGGGGAGGAACCATAGATATCAGGAAAAACTAGAAAAGATGCCAGACTTACCATTAATGGTGAGACAATAGTAACTTTGTTAAGTGAGAATGTATATGTTAAAGTGGTACAGAAACTAAACAAACATGAGGTGTTTTTATTATTTTACTCACATGTTAATATTTGTTTTGGTGCTTTCACAGGCTAAAAAGCAAGGAAAAAACAGATTTAAGTGGTCAGTAATTTTGTTATAAATATAGAATGATGATTATATGAAATCTTTTCCTGTGAAAGTCAAATTTAAGTAAAATCTTTATCACCATCTGCAACATTTTTCTGCAGCCTGGCTTACTGGGTTATCATAAAGAACATTGATTTTACAGATATATTTAAAAAATGTCAAAACCCTGATTATGTGTAAACAATTTTACATAAGGAAATATATGAATTTTAATTAAATTTTTCTAAAATCCATACTCAGCATGAAATTAATACATCTTACCCCCTCCCTGTGACTTCATTATTATTTTTAATGTAACTTTAGAAGAACCCAGTAGAGAGAGCAGCGTGCTAAGTGCGTTTCTTTCTTTTCCAGACAACTTTGAATGGAGAGGAGCAAATTAGTCTTTTGGTTTAATTCTGTCTCAGTTTGCTTATCTAAAAAAAAGGAAAACAGAGTGGCTACAATTGTTTCGAACCAAATGCGTACTCCAGAGAAAGATGCTATATTAATCCAAAAAATACAGCCACTTGAATGCAAACCAGCCAAAGCGAAAGTGTAAGGGATTTGATGGAAAGGAGGCAGTTCATCAAAGTTATTGAGGGGTTTTATATTTTAAACTCTGCCAATGACTTGATGTGTAATGTCACTTAAAAAAAAAAAAAAAAGTATGTCTGAGCTGTTTCCTACTTCGTCTCTAAAATATCCTCACAGTGATCTCTGAAATCCCAGGACTTAAGTGGGCTGGAGGTTACGGGAAGCACCTTTATAGTATCCTTAATCTTATGAGGGAAGAAACCATAATTGCTCAGTTCTCTGCCTTGGATAATATCATGAGGGACTCTAAAGAAAGTTTTGCATTAATCAACAATGTTTTAAATTATGTGTATATTTTTAGACCCTATTAAAAATGGGAAGCATAGAAAGACAACTATTCTGGTCTCAACTGGCGAAATTTTATGTAGTTTAATAAAGTAATAATTTCAAGAAACGTGGGCAAATAAGAAAGAGTATGACTTTCTTACAACCCACTTGTA